TATAACATTTTGTAAAGAATTACTTGCACTATTTTCTATTTCTATATATTTCTTCTATTTCTTTTAATACTATTTTATTTTATAATATTTGTATGCTGGGAGATTGAAAACAAAGTAAGAATTTCATTACATGCTGTAAACTGTGTTTATCTGCTGTGTACATGACAATAAACATCTTGAATCTTGAATCTCCTCCCCCGGTAGAAAGGGACAGTTAAGGTGGTTCAGGTATCTAGAAGGATACCTCCTGGGAACCCTCCTTTGGAGGTTTACCGGGCACACCCAACTAGGAAGAGACCTTGGGGTAGACACAGAATTCGCTGGAGGGATAACATACCCCATCTGGCCTGGGAACACACAGGAAGAGCTGGAGAGCATGGCTAGGAGGAGGGATGTCTGGGAAACCCTACTTGGCCGGCATCCTCTGAGACCTGATCCCAAATAAGCATCCTCTGTCTCATTTTCCTGCCTCAACATTCTCCTTCGGCTGTCACTATCATAATAAAGAGGAAAATACAAAAAAGAAAGGAAACGCCACAGAAAACAACACCAAAGACGGAGTGGCTGGGATTCGTCTTTGAACAAGTCAGGGCCCTGGAGCTGACTGGATTTCAGACACCCATCCCTCACTGGCTAGGTCAGAAAAAAAGCCAGCCCCTAAAAATCTACTCTAGGGCACTGTGAGATGGTTAAGTTTGACTTCTTACCCTCTGACGAAAACCTATAGGAATCAAAGTGAACTAGTCAAAGATGTAAAAACAAGCTGAATTCACCTCCAGGACACAAACATCAAGTCCTGTTCTGCCCCTTAAGCATCTCAAGCTGTCCCTCGCTGTGCTCACCTTTTGACCCAGACTCTTGAATCTGAACATAGGCACAGTTATGTAAGGAGGAATGGAAAGGGGCCCATGTGCCCAGCAGATTATCAGATTAGTAACAAGATAGCAGGCAAGCTACTTGATCTTGGCACATCACAGCAATGATGTTGGCGGTGCAGCCTGCCTGGGTAAGTAGAGGATGTGGAGGTCAGTGCAACCTGCCAGCCACCATGGAACAGCACCTCAATGATGTAACGATGACTGAAATCCACGGGGGGACTCTGAGTCCTGTTACTGACACCAGCACTGTCCAGACTGCATCATGGTAAATAATATGATAGCTGCATTCATAGTCTCATTATCCTTCTCTGGAGCTTCCTCACCACTCAATATACATCTCTTGAATAAGGAAAATTAACTTGAGATAAAGTTTATGTTCATAAAAATATTAATACAGAAGAATCTACCATGCTTGAAATGCTGTATTATTTCTAAAGGTAATACATGACTAGAATTATCGCCTCATGGTTGTATTCCCTGCACCAACCAGTTAACGAGCAGGAGATATGGTCACAACATCACCTTGAGTTATATTATGGTTGTTATGGCGATGAATAAAGACCAGATAGTCTGTATGATGTCACAGTGAAGCTGACCTTTGACCGATCCAAACAATCCTCATTTCATTATTTGAGATTTGCATTAAGCTTTGTCATATTAAGTGTTAAATTGTGCCCAATGATTACATTTGTGAGGTCACAACTTCCCATAGGTAATGCCAAATAATCTTGATCGCCACCTGGTGGCTGGCTGCAGTGTAGGTTATAAACCCTGCCTCCTCCATGTTTAAATATTTCTTATCACATTCATGTTTGTTTACATGCTCATTCTGACAGCAGAGACTGACTCGCGATCGGTCGAGTGCATCTGTCGGTGGAACCTCAATACAGCGTGCGGCTCCATTTCACAATCACTAGTTTCTTAATATTATATCTTAATCTGGAAAATAACAAGAGTTCCAATTTCAGGAAATAGGTTGATTTGAGAATATGAACAGGTTGACAGATAATAAGTGTGAGTATTTACAATAGTCTGATTTGTAGAAGTCAGATCTCACAGAGTAAACAGGTAGTGGAGCAGGCAGGCGTCCAAACGAATCTGACACCCTGGGGTTGGGTTAGCGTGGCAGATGTCAGTAGGCAGCTGATGCTCAGCACTGTTATACAGGTACTAGTAACAGAGACTGAACAGACAGGGGAACAGACTTCAAAGCTGTAACTCCTCTACCACTGTGATAGTCTGATATTGCGGTTTGAACCGGTCTTGTATGCTGCCTCTGGCTTGTTGTTGGAGCAGGTGAGATAGTGGTAGAGCAGGAACCTGGAGGACACGCCCAGCCACCATCACAAACATAAACCCAAACAGGGCGAGGACTGACA